GAGAAAATAGGAGGAGGAGAAAGAAGAATTCTCACGACGAAAGAGCCTTTATCAGGTGATGGAGAACCAGAGGTGAGCGAGTAACCTCAGGAGCGTCGTCGTCACCAGCACCGCCCCCTGACCGCCCGCCGAGGAACTGACGGAGCTGTTGGTGTGAATGGCCGCCGGGTGCTCTCCTGGCGGGGATATGGGGAAGAGGGGAAGCGGTCAGTGGGGGGAACTTTGAAATGAGAGGAGGTGGTCAGTGCAATGGGTGAATTTAGGAAAGAGGAGGACAGTCCACTTTTTTTTTTTTTTTAAGGAGACGCAGTCAATAAAGTGGGTGAATTTTGGGAAGCGAGGAAACAGTCAGTAGAATAGACTAATTCTATAAAGAGGAGAAGCAGTCACTAAAATGTTTTTTTAAACGGAGAAACAGGCAGAAAAAAGTGGGTGTTTCGAAAAGAGATATAATGGTTGAAATTTAGAAAGAGGGGAAATATATATTTTTTTTAATAATAATAAGAAAAAGGTGAAAAGAACACAGCAGGATGGGGTAATTTTGAAAATGAGGGGGAACAGTCAGTCAATATTCATATGGAAAGATATGAATATTAAGAATCTGAACACCGTTGGATAAAAAACGAAAGTAACTAAAAGACAATAATTGATTCACATGTGCAATAATATAAAATAGCAGAGATAACGACATTAATAATGATGTTAACAGTAGTGATATAAGGATAATGATATCAACATTCTAATTTAGGACAACAAAAAGGACACGGCCAATAGTACTAATACTATTACCACTGTTATTACCATAATACTTATCATTATCATTATTAGTATCAGTATTAGTATTAGTACCATTATCATTATCATTATCGTCATCATCATCAGTATTTTCATTTTATTGCTATTGTACTCTATTCTTTAATAGTATATAGTACATTATCATTTCTATTAGGATTGTCATCTTTATCATCACCTATATTATTATTATCATCAGTATCATGATTATTGCCATCACCATCACAATTATCACCATCACTTCTAACAACAACATCCATACACATTAACCAAGCCACCAAGCTATTCAATCTAGGACAGTCTTGCTCACGTCAACCAGACTACATGGTATCACAACCAAACAACCGGACCATGCAATTTGGGACTACCTCTAAACATCAGCCAGTCAACCAAATTCATACCATTTAGGGGAGTCTATATAATATATCAACCAAACACACGCCACCACAACCAAACCCCACTATTTAGGGCAGTCTGTATACACCTACCAAACCATGCGGCACCACAGCCAAACAACCGAACCACGTGATTGAGAACTATATTCACGCATCAACCAGATCAACAGATCAACAAACCATACCACTTAAGACAGTCCACACACTCTCCACTCATCAACCAAACACACACTCCACCACAGCGATTAGAACAGTCAACACACACAAACCAACAGTTAACACACGTACCCAACCAAGTGACCGAAACGACCGAACCACACCAATGAGGACGTCCTCCGAACAACATCAACCACTAGCGATCACCCACCATCACCCAAGCCACCCAAACCCCAGGCCTACCATTGAGGACGTGCAGACTGACGCTGGTTGCGTTGTGGTTAGAAGGGACGCAGGTGTACACTCCAGAGTCCTCGTCTCGCGCTTCTCGAATCAACAGGTAGCTTATGGTTGTCGGTCCCTTCTCGACGACCATGGAAATGCCGCCGCGACTGCTGCTGTAGCTGATGTTCTGGGGGGTGGGGGAGGAAGGGGGAGAGAAAGAAAGAGAGGTGTTATTGTTGGTTGGGTTGGGGGGGTGGTAGGAGGGGATTGGGGTGAGGGGAGAGGTAATCATAGATGGGAGGTCGCGGGGGGGGGGGTAGGAGGGGATTGGGGTGAGGGGAGAGGTAATCATAGATGGGAGGTGTTTCATATCATATATATGTAGACATATAAATATACACACACATATACACAAATATATATAAAGTGGGAGATGTGTGTGTGTGTTTACACGCGTGTGCGTGCATTGCGTGCGTATATGTGTATACATGCACCTTTATACGTACTAGGTACACATCCAATATGAACATATCTCGCCTAAACAAAAACCTGCATAATACCCAAAGTGAAAAGATTTCAAACTGCCGCACCCCCCCCCCCCCCCCCTGTACTGAAACCCCGCATGTCATACCCTGAGGCTGTGGTACTTGTTGCTGTGGTACCAGAGGACGTAGCTCGGCGGCTCCGGCAGGTCGTACAGGACACAGGTCAGGTTGATCATGCTGGCCTTCTGCACGTACAGGTCGGGGGCGCCAAGGATCTCGCCTCGGGGTTCTAGGGAGTGAGAGACAGATAATAATAATGATAATGATGATAAAAAAAATAATAGCAATAATGATTATGATAGCAAAAAAATAAATAAATAATAACAATAATAACAATAACAAAAATAATACAAATGATGAGAACAATTATAATATTAATAATCATTACAATAACATAATAATACTCAGTAATCAATAACCAATCAACAAATGAGTCAACAACCAAATACCCAAAACCCACGCAGACACACACGCCAACGCACAAACGCACAAAAGCAAACCAACCGCCCGAAGCACTCACTTAAGACGGTGAGATACGTCGTGAACTCCTTGATGGGCTTGGTGCTGATCTGGCACTCGTACGTCCCCTGGTCCCGCGGCTGAACGGACTTGATCCTGAGCGTCCACTGGTTGGTTCCCGCCTGGTGCAGAGCCTCGTATCGCAGGTCCGTTGTGTACGTGTAGCGGCCGACGGCGAGGATGCGCAAGTCACGGCCGCGGATCCAGGAGACCTGTGGCGGGTGGGGGGAGGGAGGGGGGGAAGGAGGGAAGGTAGGGGGTGGGATAAGGGGGAAGGAGAGGAGAGGGAAGGAAAAGGGAGAGAGAGGGGGAGGGAGATAGGAAGAGGGTTTTGGTGAGGGAGGGGAGGGGGCGGGTGGGAAGGTATGTTGAATGTAAATATAGTGTTCATGTTCATAATGCACATTAAAATATCTTGTTATTTCTGAATAATCTATGGCACTAACTTCTCTCCCTCCCTCTTTTCCTATCCCTTCATCTCCCTCCCTCCCTCCCCTTTCCTTCCTCTCTCTTTTCCTCTCCCTCACTCTCCTTTTCTCCCTTCCTCTTTCCTTCCTTCACTTTCCTTCTTTGCTCTCTCCTTTCTTCTCCCTCCCCCTCCTACTCTCAGTCCCATCCTCCCTCTCATCCTCTCTCCCTCCCCCACCCTCATTCTCATCCTCCCTTTCCTCCCTTCCTCCCTCTCCCTCTCTTCCTCCTTCTCCTTCTCTCCCTTCCTCTCTCACCCTCTTCCTCCCTCCTTCCCACCCTCTCCTACCCTCCCATCCCTCTCCCTCCTTCTCATCTCCCTCCCACCAACACCCTCCTAACACTCTATTCCTCCCTCCCTCCCTCCCACCCTTCCTCTCCTTCCCTTCTATCTTCCCTCCTCCTCCCTCTCCCACCCTCCCTCATTCCTCCCTCTCCCTTTTATAGTAGTTTTTTCATTTTCCTCTTCTTCCCTCTCCCACCCTCCCTCATTCTCCCTTTCTCCCTCTCCCTTTCTTAGTGACCTTTTCATTTTCCTTCTTTTCCCTCTCCTTCTCGCACCCTCCCTCTCTCCCTCCTTCTCCCCCTCCCTCCCCACTCACCGTGTTGTTCCCGATGGAGTGGACGCCCTAAGTAAGCTGACTTCCTCCCTCTCCCTGCCTTTCTCTCCCACTCTATCCCTCCCTCCCTTCATTTTCCTCTTCCTCCCTCTCTCTCTCACCCTCCCTCTCTCACCCCCTTCCTCCCACTCTTTCCCTCCTTCTCCCTCCCTTTGTCTCCCACTCTACCCCTCTCTCCCTTCATTTTCATTTTCCTCTTCCTCCCTCTCCCTCTCCCCCTCCCTCTCTCCTCCCGTTCCTCCCACTCTTTCCCTCCCTCTCCCCCTCCCACTCTTTCCTTCCCTCTCCCCCTCCTACTCTTTCCCTCCCTCTTCCCCTCCCACTCTTTCCCTCCCTCCCTCCCCCTCCCCACTCACCGTCCTGTTCCCGATGGAGTGGACGCGGCAGTGCAGCTCCGCCTGGCGCCCCACGTGAGCTGTCTGGTTGTCCTTCATGGAGGAGTCGAAGTAGGGTTGATCCGTGACCAGGGGGGGCGGGGGGATCAGCAACTCCCCGAGGACCTGCGACTGCAACGCCACTGCAAGAGACCCGAGGGGGGAAGAGGGGTGAGCGGGTGGCATGAGAGTGCTATGCGGGAGAGGGATGGGAAAAAAATATAGAGAGAAATGGTGGGCGGTACGAGAGAGACGTGTGTGTGTGTGTGTGTGTGTGTGTGTGTGTGTGTGTGTGTGTGTGTGTGTGTGTGTGTGTGTGTGTGTGTGTGTGTGTGTGTGTGCCCGCGCGCGCCACATTTACATACATTGACACACACACATACAAAAACGTGATAAATAAGATAATCACCCTTGATGCATCAAACACACCAAATATTTCACAGAAAATCATAAATAAATAAAAAACCGTATCAAAATACATCGAGTGCATCCCATCCCGTCCTCCCCCTCCCGCCCACCGCCCAATCACACAGTACTGCAGTTGAGAAGTTTCCGGCATGCCTGTGAGGTCGCGGGAAACTTCTCTCCTCTCACTGTGCGGACGGAAGGCGAAGGTCATGCAAAAGTTCGCCATGCACAGCCGCCCTCAGGGAAACGTGGGCCCCAACAAATGGGAAAAAAAACACTAAAAAGTACTTGTTTCTTATTATCGCTATTATCAAATGCTGTTGATATTGTTATCATTATTATCATTATTACTGCTACTGCTACAACTACTATTATCATTGCTATCATCATCATCATTGTTGTTGTTGTCATCATTATCATTATCATTATCATTAGCACCATCATTATTAGCATCATTACTGTTATCATTACCATCAATATTATCATTATCGTTATCAT